AAGTATGGTTAAATAAGAAGGTAATGCACCGATTAAACAAAGGCCGAACGCAAAAGCTCAATTTCAGACGGATTGGCCTAAAAGGCTCTCGTAAGTAATACAAAAATATTGCAAATGACATGGAAACTGTCTGCATTTCAACTCTGCAAGATCATTTTGAGATGATTTAAAATATGTCATTTTCAGGACAGTTTGGATATAGCTCTTCAAACAAGAGTGCTGCTGCTTCAAACAGTATCAGATTAGTAGATGCCCTGCACACCTATCACATCATTATGTTTTTATGTCAGCAAAACAGTGTCTGAGGAAATCAGACACATGGAAATCTAATAATGGAAATCCTAAGCTTGTAATGTCAAAACTATTCAATCTTCACAGTTCCCAGTGCAAATATGTCTCTGGGTAGGGAAATATTGAAATCGATAGACAGAAAACCAGAGACAGGTGTGTTTATTGAATCTCTTTATTAGATTGGTGGCAGCACACAGCATGTAGAAAGTGACTAAGGACTCCCTCATCTGTTGCTGATCACTGCAGGTTCTGAAAAAGCCCCAGATGTTAAAGATGGACCGCAGCACATTTACATCTGTGACCATGACGAACATGTTGAAAAACATTATGCTAGGAAAAATCTATTTTAAATGCTGTGTATAGTGTCACCATATGGTAAATTTTAAGGAACTTCATGCATATCTATGTGGAACATTGTATCACCTCTCTGTAGGAATAAATAAACTATATTTTGTGCCTATATAATCTTTATCTTTAATTAAATGCATAATTTAATGTTCCATGCTCCCAACTTGAATTGCATATATTACTTTATGTCCAGGATTTCCGTATGCCTCCTGAGTGAGGCAGAGATGTGGGCTAATTTAGGCAAAAGAAAATTAAGGAGATGATGAAAGTGAATGCTGGAATGAATTCTCACCAAGGGGTGGGGGTCAACCTTTTCAGTCTTAGAAGTACATCTTTTGAAATGCTGATAATAAGCATAGCTACTTTCAGCACATAAAATGTACTCACATCAACTCATATGACACCCGTTTTACCACTGTGACTGATTCATGCCAACCAAAAAGGTGTTAGCTTTCTCTGAGGAGTTTAACAGCTTTCCTCACTATTTCTGCTGCACATGCAATGTAATCTAAACAATCTATGATTTCTGCCTTGATGCCTGTCAAGATCAGCGAACCGATGAACGATCTGAAAATTGAACCGTCGTTTGGTCATTCAAAATTCAAAATGACTTCTTACAAACCTATTCAGTGGACAATGTGCCAAACAGTATTAAAAAATACAGGGCATTTAGGATTGCAGGTTGTGGTGTACTACTCTTAAATCCAAAAATATATTTGATTTTCAGTTGTTAAGAATATACAAGATTTTTTTTCAATGACTGCAGTCAAAATCACAGCAGAAACAACATAGCTGGATCACAGTAGGCCTTATTTAAGTTCTCTAAATCAAACACTCTGGGTATTCAATAATATTTCAATTTGCATAGATGTGGGCTGAATTTCAGACAACCTGACTCAGCCAAATAATGAATGCATACATGATGGTTGTGTCTGCATTATTTTCAATCTGGACACTTTGAAATACGTTTAAAAACTAAAGGTGTAATCACAGGAAATTATTTTTATTTCAAGATCTGGTCCAATGGTTTGGTCTGCTCTTCTTTTGTAAAGAATTGAGAGGACAAAAAATATCCCCTTTCTGGTTTATTTTGCCTCATGTTTTGAGTGCCCACAATAACTGGATGAACGAAACACACTGGATTCTGTGACTTTCTTATGCATAACAACTTATATCATCAAGCAGGCTGAAATATACATTTGACAAAGACAGAGCAGCAAAAAAAAAAGCATATATCACCATGAAACCTGAATTTGAAGACAGCGATATAATACACAGAACACAGTTCAACAAAATTCTGAAAGCTTTCATAGTATTGTTTACACCTTTGCTTTTCCTGTTACATGTCAAAATGTCCACCGAGAAAAAAGAGACCCGCTCTCACCCCACAACCTTGGACATTGGACACTATCACAAGTGACAGCTTTGGTTGATTAAATCTCTTGTTGGAGGCAGGTGGAATTGCATGAGGTCACAGGACACATGAGGGTGATAAAGGTGTTTTTCTCCCCATGAGCGGGGAACATTTACGGGGGGAAAAGAAGAAGCACAATGGTGAAGATAAGCTCAGTTCAGGTAAAGGAACTAATCAAGCCACATCATGAAGACCACCAGAGTGTTTATTTCTGTCTTCACACTTTTACAGCAGGTAAAAACACCGCAGCGCATCTTTTTTTCTTTTTCTTTTTTTTGTCGACATCCGAGGAGCAATTATAAAAAATAATTGTGGCCCTAAGATTTAAATTTAATTCAGTGGCCTACATTTTAAAGAACCATCCAGCTGAATTCCAATGGCTGCTCTTGTACCACAACATACCTAAGATTTTGTACATAGTTTAAAACTGGAACACAGCTCAGTGCAGATTTGATTGTGCTCACTCCAATTGTGATGCAACATTGCGATACTACAACCAGTATCTTTAATCAAAACCATGCTCAAATGTAATTGTCTGCAAAATTCTAATTTCAATCTCCATTTTAATGGAAATCAGCTCGCGTCAAGCAAATAACGAGCTCTTATACTAGGTCAACAAAGAAGATGAAAATCACTTGAGAGCAATCTCGACTGTGTTGTTTTGGTCTGTTTCCCTCCCTGCAAAAGTTATGACCTCAGTGAGAGGTGAGGGGTTTCTGAAATTGGATGACTTACATTCCATCTTCTTATTGAAAAATACCAAGCTCCACTGACTGAGCAGTCTCCCTGCACGCGCACGGTCGTGCGTTTTAGTGTGGAGACATCTGGCTGCTCGGGGGTTAATTGTTGTAGTCTCCATATCCAGCAGTGACCTGGATTTTACTCCATAATCTGAGTCAGAGCTGAAAGAGACACCTTCTTTTTTTTCAACAACTGCCACATGTCTGACGTTTGCATGCTCATTAGGACGAAGTACATGTATGCGGAACTAATAAGTTTGGTATCAACTAAATTTGGTGGGTTGGGGTTATTTCTAGGATTAAGCAGTCTTGTAAATAAGTGGGAGTTTTTTTTCCTCTTTAATGCAAATAAAGACAGTATATCACTAACAGTATATACTAGTTTCTTGAAAGCAAAGAAATATTGAGCTCATTAGATCCAAGTTTGTCCCGTCTTTTCTTTTCCTTTTAATCACACACATCGATAAACTAATCAGGGATTTAATGTCAATTGACATTTAAACACGTAGGGTCGCTTGTGGATAGTAAATTTAAGATGGAAGGCAAATGCTATATGTTTCAGGTTGCTCTCCCAGGATCTGGCTCCAAATTTGAGAAGAGGAAAGTTTTGCTTTTAGGTTTTTTCTAAATATTTTGCCTTGTTGAATGAAATTTTAGTTTTTGATGTCTCACGTGACCCTGAGCTGCTTTGTCAGTAGTTTAAGCAACTAGGGCACCTCACACGCTGCATATTCCATCTCCATTTTGTCACGTATTTGCGTGCCATTATAACATGTCACAAGCTATGTGTCCAATTCTTGTAGTTTTTGCTGTTCTCCCACTGCAGAAACTGCCAGATATGCAGTTACATGCATCAACAGGAAACACTGACATTTATGCTGGCAAAGCTCGTCATCCCACAAACAAACACCGCCGAGCCTTTGTTGATGTTGTCTCTCTCTCGCTGTCCTTTCTTCCAGTCCCTTAAGCCCAAATCGGTTGAGGCAGATGGCCGTCCTACCTGCCTCTCTTTCAGCTGGGGATTTTTATTGTTTAAAGGGAGTTTGTTTTTTTCCCTCTTTATCCGCTGTTGCCAAGTTCTTTAAATTTTCAGC